ATGATTAGGAATAGACTTCCCCGTGGAAATCCCAGTAGGTTATGTCACTAGACGGCAAGGACCCAGGTGCGCTCTTACTTCTTTTCACTGCTGGCTTTCCGTCCCTGGAATTCCTTACCGGCAGATGTAGCTATATCACCGTCTGCGGATGCTCTTAAGCGAAGGCTGGACAATCATGCAGAGACACCAGGACTGCGTCCAAATGGCCTATCCCCTTAAACTCCCATACACTACTCGGGGGTAGACAACTAAGTTCGTCGTTCTACTTCTTTACCTTCTCTCCCTTCTTACTCTCTTGACAACTTTAACTACACTTATTATTATTACTGATATATTTGTATATATATATATATATATATATATCAACTTCAAATTTAATCAGCTGTCTGTTTTTTTCGTTTTCTTTATGTCTTTTTCTTTATTATTATTATTATTATTATATAAGCTTTATTCCAAATCAGTACTTGTGATACAGAATGGAATTCTCAGCATTTTACTACAATATTGCATCCAGTTTTTTGTTTACATTAACAATAAATAAAGTTCTACATAGTTTAAAGATTATCTCAACAACATATTAGTATGTCGGTAGCAAAGCCAAAATTAAAATGTTTGAAGGTGTTACAAAAGTAGATACTACTAGCATATTTACTGGCGTAAGCGATAGCAAAATGGTCGAGATATACAGAGTGTAAAAGAACGAACAAGAATGTTTTAAGTAGAGTTTGCAAGGAAGAGAGAAACAAAACAGCACATAACAAAAATAAATACAGAATGAAGAGAGAGAAAACGTTGTACCTATAAATGATGTGAGTTGGAAAGACGAGATTCATTGGTTCTAGTGACTATTCTGTCTGTTAGTCTGAATAACTTCACTAATTATATCTATTATTATTATCCCTTTTCTTTGACGGTGATACCGGAGCACTAACTGGTGAAAGGATCAACTCCATTCACAGTACTAGCAGTCTCAGCACACCTCGTACTACAAACCACATACAATTAATCCCAGCACTACTCCTTTTGGAGTCAACTAAATCTACGACAGTTGAGTGGCGGGACGAGCTACGCTGAAGTTTACTGAAGATCAGGAACCTATACCTCACAATCAAGAGGTGAGCACAAAAAATCAAATTGGTTTATACCAGCTCGTAAAAGCGATATTGGATATTGGATAACCACATATGGTTCACTCAAAAATATGCAAAAAAGCATACTGAAAAAGGGGAATACTTTCTGAAAAGGTTGAAATAAATTTTAAACAGTTGTATTAAAGCTGTATATTCTAAATTCATGACTAAACCAGATAAGTGATTATTAGTCGAAAATATTTTTAAAATAGTCCATAAAGATTCGAAATTGAAGAGGAAAATAAAAGCTACACATGAATAAAGGGATGTTAAACCTGGGGATTACGATAATAGCATATTATTCAGCGCTAAGCCATTTCCTTTTTAACACACCAGTTGAACTGTATTATCTTAAAGACTACAGCTTCGGTAAACTAATGTCCCTGGTTATCAACTGAATCAGCAAACACTTAGGAAACAACCGATAGAGTGAAAGTAGATATCTGCATCGTGTTGTACATAAAAATATACACTAAAATCCTATGGAATGTTATTTAGTTTATGTCTTCAAGAAAATGCTACATATGAAACATAAATTCTAAACGTGACTTAGCTGGGGATATCCTTAAAAGTAGTTTCTTTCAGTTCGTGAAAAGAACATTAGCTGCAGTATCATTGAGAATGGTGTTTCCTTGCTGGCCATTACTGAATGAATGTAAAGATCCCATAGTCAAGCAAATCCATTAGTGTTTATGAATTCACCTGTTTCTGTATAGCTAAATACATAAGTTTTCCGGTGTGAATTTCAGCCGAAAGGGTGGAAGAACGCTATCGTGCATGGTTAGGAAGAGTTGGCGGTGAGTAGCGCTTCATCAAGAGAAATTAAATAGTCAGATTAAGTAGTGCTTGACTATAAGGAAAGTAGATAAACTATGCTTTAATGAAGGTACAATAAAACCGAAGATTACTAAGGAGGTAAATATATATATTGGGTGGAGGTATCGTCAATTGGTCTGGACCAGAATGTCCACGACAAGGATAATGGCTGTACTAACCGCTTCAAAACGCTTCATATTTGAGTACCGTTAAAATTAAGAATATTTTATCGCACTTCATATTATTATTTTTAAAAAGACCATGATATATATATGAACGATTGTGCAGCTTGATAGAAAATTCGTGCCGGTCGCAGGCCTGACACGGAGAAACTAGATAACAGCTTGTTGCGTGCGTTATTTGACTAAACTTGCGTACACGTATATTCTAGTACTTCTTCACTTTTATTAATGTGTGCAGACGTTGTAGCTACTCGACGCCCACAACGTAAGTCAAAAGGCACTTGCGAAGAGTAAGATCGTGTATTATAGCCGTAGTCAAATTTCGAAATTGTGTCAAGGTAATGTTCAACAGTAAATTGATAAATATTTGCGTAGTACATATAGAATAGGTCTGTATACACATATAATACAAGCATACAAATTAGATTAAAAAGCATGTTTACAGTTGGTACAGGGGTACTACAAGCTCAATTTATACAACAAATACGTATATACAGATAATACACCTAGCATCGTTCACCATGCCTCGAAGTACTACCTTTGAAAAACTTCAGGACGCAGTACGCATGCAATCCCTCTCATATTGACGATTCTAATTTGAAAAATCATCGTAGAGTCCACTCACTGACCTCCTGTCACTATCTCTATCTTTAACTCTCAATGGTGCCATGCCCATGACATCACATCGTGGACTGTAAATAACAATCAAGCACACGACATATCTGACCAACCAGGTGACGGCACAGAGTGATTTACATCAAGAAGAATAACATTCAGATGGTAGGCCGAAACCTGGAATCATTTTATTTGTGCAAGTCAGCTTAACAATCACCTCTAATTCTAAGATACTTCGGCGCTCAGTTGCCTCATCGTCACTAGACTCACCATTGACTTTCATCCATTTTAACAGAAAGATACTGGCATAACCTTGGCCTAAGACACGTGTGTTCATGGATGGCCATCTTACTGTTGACGACAGCAATGACGACGATGAATGAATGGGCCAAGTCGGTGAACTTACTGGTGCAGCACTTGTTGTTGTTGTTGTTTGATCTGTAGGAGATTGTTTAATCGTAGGATTACCACCACTACTAGCTTTCATGATTAATGTCTGCTGATAGTTTACATTGGTTTTCTCAATAATCTGAATGACAAGACCCGATAGTCAAGCAACTCCACGCGTGTTGTATCTACATTTTTTACAGCAGCATCAACTTCTAATTCTACTTCACGTTCAAGTTGTACAGAACCTTTGCTCAACTCAGTAATAGTAAGTATTCAATGCGTCTCATCACGACCAGTTGAGGAAAAATGTTCATTATCAGGATCAGAAATACCCAATTTTTCGTCGAATGTAGGATCGAGTTCGTGATTTTCAACCTCTTTAATAGTAGTAGTAAGTGACTTAGACCTTGTTCTGGCATACATTTCTTTGAAGCCACTGCAGTCACTTATTTGGTGAGTATTACCACAAATGACACAACACCCTGTGTTCTCATCACAATGGGTTTCCATTTATTCACCGTCTTCTCAGTTTCAGGGGTAGAATGCAAAATGCTTGGAAAACTGTGAGTCGTCTGGTTAACGTTGTCTGTAAATAGTTTCAAAGTGTCATGGAATCCCAGTTCCAAACCTTTCTCCTCTTTATGCGCACCAACCTTTATCCATTTCCTGTGTAATTGTGTATGCAGTCTTTTGGCAGTTATTTCGAGAATGGAAATCGAACTCAGTTCATCCGTACAGTCGAGAGAAGTTAAGGTATTTCTGTTCGTTATTAAACTGTTCAAGAACTCAGTAACTTCTTTGGAGTTATCATTCGGATGAGCATCATCACCCTAAAAAGATTCGAATACACCTGTGAAGATCATAAATAGCTTCCCAAATCTTTGTCATAATATACTCGGCACTGGGGGCAAGAACTTACAGAATTTTATTGCCGTTCAGCGGTATCACTGCAATATCCACTTCATATCATCACTGAGTTCAAAACACATAGCATAGTTTCAGTCTCCTTCACAAAATGAAGTAAGTCTGCCGGATTTTCACCGAAACACCGCAGCTCAAACTTAAGGCATTTACTCTTCTTGGGTGCAGCTACATGACTGTCAGTCTTTTCAGAAATAATATCAAACAACTTGTCACAAACATGAAGCAAATCATCGTTACTTGCTTTTCTGTTTGCGTTACGTCCTTTCTTTTTCCCAGGCATTACTGAACGTCACCAAAAACCGAATATGTGTTCCAAAAATATCTGCCTAATGTCACAGAGAAGCAGTAATTATATCCAATTTATGAAGAGAGAACAACTTTCGAAAGAGATCTGTCAGGAACAGCCAGAGAGAATATCAGAAACTGTCTTTACCTGGCTTACTACAGGCTAGGCGAGATTTAGGTGTGCATCTGTTGGGAATCGAATCTATATCACGTAAGTGATAAGCGAGCATTCTACCGTTAAATCACCTACCAGTAGTCAAGAGATAATGTACTCGACTGGTTTGCATATATGAAATATTTAAAACTACTCCAAAAATTACTCAGTGTTCTTTGATGTTTGATGTTCTGTCATCTTTTATCATTTTTTTGATACAGCTGATCGGGAACCAGCCAGCTCTGTAGAAAGATGACCTGAATTAATTTGAGCCGTTTTAAAGGACATGCATCAATAGTTTATCTTTCGGTTTCCATAACAAAAATAAAAACCATGCATTACGCGGAACACGAAATACTTGTTAAAATCATTTTTATTCTGTTATTACTGTAATGACATTTTTACATGACTTGTTTTTATTTATTTGCATGTATGGTATTTCGTTTTCAATGTGTTCTCATAAAATGAAGGGAAAATTACTCATCCTGATATTTTCCAATTTCCTTACCGTCCATACCTGGAATTAAAAATATAGAAAAATATAAAACAGGTAAGGTAAAATACTGTAGTGTCATGAGGGTAAAACTGTCTGGTAAAACCTTCCAACTCGTAGACTTCAATTTATGTGAGATAAAAAAATTAGGTAGCTCTTGAATTCGAAATCACCGCCTCCGAAATACCAGTCTAGTGTCCCTCTAGGTGAGCTATAAGATCCAATCGCTTACTATGTAATCATAGTTGTGTGCAACTTTATTTACTGCCACTGCAACCAAATAACTATAGCATAAACTTCGATATTCAGACAGCTGACTATTTTCCGAAGTGTTCACCTTGCATGGCATTTAAAATTGCAAAGTAACCTAAGCGATTCATTTGTCTAGACTGGAAAACACTACATAAGCGGAAACATCTTGTTCTAAAAGTCATTTAAAATACATACAAAAAAGATGGATGGTGCACAATTCAGTATATCAATCAATGAAATAATCAAAAATTCATGATGAGCTGACATTAATTAGAGAACCATTGGAAAACCTGGGAGTACTGGACAGCTGTTTCGTCCAAGTTCGGGACTTTTCATCAGTAATCACCCACCTGGATTCGAACCCAGGACCTTCTGGTTACAAGGCGAGCTCGTATACCATTAAGCCACTGGGACCCGATCCAATGGCCAGTGCATGAATTCTACTTCTGCTAATTCACGACAAAGCGCGACCACTAGCCAATGTGTTCGGCAAGTATCTGTTTTCACACCCGATCGGGTCTCAGTAGCTTAATGGTATACCAGCTCGCCTTGTAACCAGAAGGTCCTGGGTTCGAATCCCGGTGGGTGCGTGCTGATGAAGAGTCCCAAACTAGGACAAAACAGCTATCCAATACTCCCAGGTTTTCCAATGGTTTTCCAACTAATGTCAGCTCATGATGAAATCCTGAAACCAATCAAATCCCTACAACCCAACATTTGAAAATCAAAAATTTAGTTAATAAGTTAACACCTCCTGAATAGTTTATCTTTATTATTGCTCACTACTCTAGTAAGCAGCACTGTACTTTTCAAAATCATCAGTACAAACTAATCATGAATGATCATGGAACACTGAAGGATTTCATCTATTTTGTAATATTCGTCTATTTACTGGAGCTACTCCAATGTGATAAGCAAGATCAGAAAACGTCTTGTTGGCTACCCATGGGGTCCAGGAGGTGCATCAGTGAGCATACTTTCATTCCAGTAAAGTTTTTTCCGATGCAGACTAAAATATACCATTTTTCGTCAACACTGAAAATGATAATTAAAAACTTATGGTGGGTTATTATAGTCCACATGACACCTTTAATGAGAAAACTTTAGAGTATAAACAAACATTTCAATTTGGGAGATCTTGGATAGTAGCAAATCCATTGTAAGTAATTTTTTTATATTTTTGATTTACAGCTTGATTCCACACTGTATTTTTGGTACAAGTATGGAATTTTCAGCATGGATATCGGTAGCCCAAATTTTGCAGGCCGACCATAGATATCAGGTGTGTGTCGGCGGGGTTCGAACCTCGGACCATGTGCATGGTCGGCGAGAGTCCTAACCACTGTGTCACCGACGCACAAGTATCACAGTAGCCTGTAGTTTGATTACGGTGAAGGTAAAATATAGTTGAAAAACGTGGACAATAAGTGTACTCTTTTGACATCAATTTGTTTATAAACTTAAGTACGCTTTCCTTTTGACCATCATTACATTTTACCTACAAGAATAGGACTAAAAGTAACATTCTAAATTTGTGCTATAATCTTTATTCTAACACAACTTAAACTATTTCTGTTGTACAACATATCTTCATTAGTGGGCATATTACATCTCATTCTAAAACGATTTATCAAACATCAGATGACAGGATTAACACAGAATGAATATTCACAAGACGAATACTCACCTTATTCGTTGACTAAGATTATCCCATTCTCTTAAAACTTGCATAAATCGACGTAAGTTTTTAGGGGATAAAAATATTAAGCGTTGAAATATATCAGAAGTTTGATCTGGATCATTCAATTGTTCTTCAGTGATATTCGCATCTTCAATCATTTGTCTGAGTTCATCATCGTCGACGTCTTTTAGCCAGTGTTTTTGCAGCAAGCCAGCAGATTTGCTTGTATTAACCGTATTGACAAAATTATTTGAAAATATACACCAAAAAATGAGGCTGAGCAGATTTATACTCATCTGATATGTTCGAATGTATCTTGACCTAAAGAAAAAGTTAAATATGTTTTCTGATGAAGAAGAAAATTTTACAGGAATAACATTTCAATTATTGGAAGATGAAATAATGATGTTACAGCGAATGCTGATAATTAGAGGTTAAAATATCTTAACAGATATTTGCTGACTGAACTTTGGCTTTCATCCTCATAGCCTTGCATGAATACTTCATTATCATTTTCGGCGCTTGTTAGGCGGAAATTGAAAAGAAAAGTCTTTTTGTCCAGACAAATACAATGAATGGAGGCTAAAATACTTAGAATTCTGTCGATAATTCATCTATGAAGAAAAATGACTCTTTCTCCTTGATAAAATTGACTTCCATGCGTACTCACAAACTCTGATCAAAGTGCTACGCAAATGATTATGATAATTGGCTGAAAGCTGCTTCGGTCAACACACAGTGCACGGTCAAGGTGTCTGAAAATAAAAACAACCATCTCAAGTTCATTAGTAGTGTACTCAGACTGATTCAGCTCAGAATGTCAGTTAGCCTAGGATCCACGGGACCTACCTAGTCTATTTTCTCGATACCTTTTATTTTTCCATTCAGTTTGTGTATTGTGTCATGAATATTCCAGGATTTCCAAGGATATTGACGTGAAATTTCTGTATTTTGACGCTTTTTACACTTAATGTCAGAGTGCAGCTTCACTACCTTTAGAGGCTTATCGTTCATCAGAAAAGTATACTAAATTACAAGTTATTATAGAATAGAATGACTTATTAGATGCTCCTACTCCAGGAAATTTATTTTTAAGAGTTAATTTTTAAGGATCTGATTTGTTTCAGGTCTGATCACCGACTGATGTCAGTCAAGGAACCATTGAAAACCAGAGAGTACATGACAGGTGCTTCGTCCTCTTCCGAGACTCTTCATCTGCACGCACCTGCCGGGGTTCGAAATGATAGGAGTTGGGAATCATAGGTCACTAAATTTAGGTCCTAGCGGTTTGTGTGTTTCCCTTGAGATAAGAAGATCCTAGGTTCAAACCTATGAGTGTGTGCTTCCAAAGAGTTCTTTACTAGGACGAAACAACTGTCCAGTACCATATGGTTTTCAGTGCTTCTATAACCGACACTGATACGTGATCAGACCTGAAATAAAATTATTTAACTACATAAAGGATCTGTCACTTAATAGGTGAATCAGATTCATATAACATTTGCTGCATTTTTCCGTGGAAATGCGCATCGTGAGTGTGGGTCATTGGGTAAATAGTTTTGACGGCTGAAAACATTTTTGTTAGACCACTCATTACCACTTCTTTCTTAAATAGTGGTCATTGTGTAAATGAAGTATAAGCTTTTGTTAAATGACCTCTTCAGTATCTTATTTTCATATGCTAAAGATTTTATTATGCATTTCCCTATTTGATTATTATTACTATTCATTCCTAGCGTTCCGAATGAAATATACGACCTTAATAGTTCATCTCCATGGCTCCTGGTTCTCTACAGTCAATTTTAACTTGCTTTCGGTCTACTCACAGGCTCTTATTTCCTCTTCACTTGAACGCCTTCGTATCAGGCCTAAGTCCACGCTCAACTTGTTGTGTCCCATTCATGTTCTACTTGAGGGCCTGGCTGGTCTGTAATGTCATTTGAAGCTTTCCTTAAAGTATGTTCAGGCCGCCGAAATTTCTTTCTACACATTTGATGGGATGTATGTTCTTATCTGATGCGTTTTCTGAGTTTCTTATTGTTATACCTTTCTAACATTTCACATGATCTTCAGTATCGAGCGAAGAGAGCTTTGAAATCTGCACCCATGCTGCGCGTAGTTTAAAAGATTGAGTCCTGTTCATCCATATGTAAGAAGCACATTTTTTCAAAAAGTCCAGTATGAATTATTTCAGTAAAATTAGTTTACACAATAAGGTGTTTAAAATGACTTTTGAGAAAAATACGATTTTGATCACTATAATCGTTTTAAATGCTATCAGTTGGGTTAATAAATGAGAACATTGTGATGTTCCGCCTATCTACTGGATTATTTTTACGCAATCCTTCTGCTGTCTTACATTTATAATCGATTCACGATAATATGAAAAGAATGTCAGTTATTTTATTTTGATGTCATATCTCAGACAAAGTCATACAAGGATTCTATATATATACATTTTACTAACACCTTGACTAAGCTGTCTAGTAATACGCCTGACATAACTGTCACTGCAAGTGCAGTTGACACGATAAATGCACACACATTTGGCAAAACTATCTAGCTTATCATCATGTTGGTGATACGTTTATCTTAGCTGATGGAAATGTAAACATAGACGATTTGCTGATGAAATTCAACAATGTTCACCCTTCCCTTACTTTTACTTGTGCAGAGGAGCAGGATAGTAAACTACATTGTCTAGATTTCTTGCTAAGTAGGCGATAAGATGGGTCACTTGGGAGAAGCCTGTATAGAAAAAGCACATTCATAGGGCAATACACACACTTCCTTAGTTACGTGCCCACTAAATATAAAAGAAATGTTAGCAAATGTCTTACGAGCAGAACAAGAAAAATATGAATGGATGACCACTTACAAAAGGAATTTGAACATATTCACGACTCCTTGACGGAGATGGGCTATCCGAGTAGTTTCATACAGAAACAAATGGAAACTTCAGAGAAAAAACCTGAGACTGACTGCACGTAAGAAACCTCTGTTCATCAAGTTACAATTTAATGGTGACTTATCAAGTGCGATTTTATTCCAGAGACTTTCCAGGAGTGTACGAAGAAGGTTTCATTGCAGCAAACCTATGTTTGTCATTCTCTAGCCGACGAATGATTGGGACGCAAACGAAGGATAAGTCAGATAGTTTTGCCACATATATGTGCATTTATTAATTCAGCTGCACCTGCGGTGAAAGTTATGTTGGGCGTACTACTAGACAGCTTAGCCAACGTGTTAGTGAACATCTCCCATCGTGGTTTGGCAAAGGGCAGACAAAAACAATCCGTAGCTCAATTCTGTCACATCTAATTGATAGTGGTCATGTAGTCGATAAAACGACAGCCTTCAAAATAATTCATCGTATCCTACCGAATCATTCTAATAGACTTCGTATTCGTCTACTGAACATAGCTTAAGCAATAATTATTTGAACTATTAAACCTAAAATATACCTTTTAATTTCTAGTTATTTCTCCATAAATGTTCCAACCTGTTCGCCAAACGAATAATTCGTTTGATTATCGCTGGTGTTTATTCGCATATAACATAACATTAAGTCTTAGGTGGATTAGAAATATCCCATGGAAAATTCCCATCGTAACATATAGAAAACCAAAACAGGTGATTCAGCGAAGAGACTCTTTTCAACGAATTTATCATCAAGCTGTACAGTCTTATATATATATGGTTTTTAAGAAGTTATATCCGGTGAGGGAATTGAATCTTAGGTGTGAATGCATAAAGTAATAATAATATGAAATGCAATTAAAACTAAAATGTTTGTGATTATACTCATAGTTAAATGTCAAGTGGCAAAGCAAGTTAGTGTCATATATAGAATAATTCATAGGATGGATAGAACTTGAAAAAGGGTGTGCAATTATGGGATTAGTAGACAAATAAAATAAAACAAAAAACGTTACGTAATACTGTGTGAAATTTAATTGCACAGAATTTAACGTTGTAAAAAAGATAATTGATTTAGAATAACAAATGGAACAAGCGAAATAATACTGTGGATAGTTCAAAGTGAGAATAGTAATAGTAACAATTAACGTAATAAGGAAGAGTGTACAAAATGAATAGACAAAATGAAAAGGTGAAAAAATGGTAGAGCTAAAATATGATTGGGGATTACCATACTCTAGCATAGAGGGATTAAGACCATGAAAGTCGGAGGGGTTGAACGAACATTTTCTGTACACAGAGATCTGGCTTTTCTGTTTCGATAGTCAAAGCTTCAGCAATACAGATGATTCGGGTACGTAGGGATTTGGGTAAATTACTCTTTACCTTGTAGATGACTTTAAAGGCGGAGGCTGTAGAGATAGAGTGATCATTATCGACCAGATGTTCAATGATCGCGCCTCTTATTGCTCCACTTCCACCTTTTCGTTACCATGCAGGATAGTGTTCTTGCACCCTCTTGGAAAAAATTCGAGTCGAACGACCGATATACTTAGCTCCACACGAGCAGGTGAATTTATAAACACACCTAGAGCTGGTCAACAGCAGGATCTTGTCCTTCAGGTTATTGAACAGTAATGGTCGGCTAGTGAAAGCTATTCTCAGAGATGCAGCAGAGAATGTTCTTTTCATGGACTGTGTTATCCTTCGTTTCTTGATAAATTAGTTGAAAAGAGTCTCTTCACTGAATCACTTGTTTTGATTTTCTAAGATTAGAAATATCTGATCTCAAATGAATAGTGAATATTTTATGCTCATCTTGATCAGGTTTCAAATATTTTTCCTTTTTATCAGTAGTATATCTGCTAAAATACCTGGACTCCTTTACTTCACTGAGCCAGAAACAATACTCGTAAAGAGGAAAGGTTGTGTATGAGGCTAGCATCCCAATCCTGTAAAATAATCACTGCTACAGAAACTTCAAGCCACTAGCTTGAAGCCCTATGTTCCACTGGGGAAGGTGAAGGAAAAAAATACCTGCTGAAATAGGAAAACGTCTCTCTCTCTTTTGGATAGAACAGCCATAACGTTTAGAAAGATGTTAAAAGAACTCCCACTGTGGGGTCAGTACCGTGTTTCCTCTAATCTCGTTCTTAATATATATTTAAGTGGAGTAAAGTAACACCAGTAAAATACCTAATCTTATGACATATTATTACCGTCGACAAACATATGTAAAATGAATTTCTTTTCTCTTATTTGTTACAATATTGTAAGAGCAAAAGGGTAATTGAAATGACGACATCATCAAAAGGAATAAAAATGCAAAATGTGTGGGATGATAGAGAAAAAAAGATGCACACACAAATGAAATAAGTAGTTATTATTTTTTAATAACTTCA